ATGCTGATGCTGATGCTATGCTGATGCTGATGCTGATGCTGATGCTATGCTGATGCTGATGCTATGCTGATGCTGATGCTGATGCTGATGCTGATGCTGATGCTGATGCTATGCTGATGCTGATGCTGATGATATGCTGATGCTGATGCTGATGCTATGCTGATGCTGATGCTGATGCTGATGCTGATGCTATGCTGATGCTGATGCTGATGCTATGCTGATGCTGATGCTGATGCTGATGCTGATGCTATGCTGATGCTGATGCTGATGCTGATGCTACTGCTGATGCTGATGCTGATGCGTTGCTGATGCTGATGCTGATGCTATGCTGATGCTATGCTGATGCTGATGCTGATGCTGATGCTGTGCTGATGCAGATGCTGATGCTGATGCTGATGCGATGCTGATGCAGATGCTGATGCTGATGCTGATGCTGATGCTATGCTGATGCTGATGCTGATGCTACTGCTGATGCTGATGCGATGCTGATGCGGATGCTGATGCTATGCTGATGCTATGCTGATGCTGATGCTGATGCTGTGCTGATGCTGATGCTGATGCTGATGCTGATGCGATGCTGATGCTGATGCTATGCTGATGCTGATGCTACTGCTGATGCTGATGCTGATGCGATGCTGATGCTGATGCTATGCTGATGCTGATGCTGATGCTGATGCTATGCTGATGCTGATGCTATGCTGATGCTGATGCTGATGCTGATGCTGATGCTATGCTGATGCTGATGCTGATGCTGATGCTGATGCTGATGCTGATGCGTATGCTTATGCTTATGCTGATGCTGATGCTATGCTGATGCTGATGCAATGCTGATGCTGATGCTGATGCTACTGCTGATGCTGATGCTGATGCTATGCTGATGCTGATGCTGATGTTGGTGCTGATGCTGATGCTATGCTGATGCTGATGCTGATGCGATGCTGATGCTGCTGCTGATGCTGATGCTGATGCTATGCTGATGCTGATGCTGATGCTATGCTGATGCTGATGCTATGCTGATGCTGATGCTATGCTGATGCTGATGCTGATGCTGATGCTATGCTGATGCTGATGCTATGCTGATGCTGATGCTGATGCTACGCTGATGCTGATGCTGATGATATGCTGATGCTGATGCTGATGCTATGCTGATCCTGATGCTGATGCTGATGCTATGCTTATGTTTATGCTTATGCTTATGCTGATGCTGATGCTATGCTGATGCTGATGCTGATGCTGATGCTGTTGCTGATGCTATGCTGATGCTGATGCTGATGCTGATTCTGATGCTATGCTGATGCTGATGCTGATGCTGATGCTATGCTGATGCTGATGCTGATGCTATGCTGATGCCGATGCTGATGCTGATGCTGATGCTATGCTGATGCTGATGCTATGCTGATGCTGATGCTGATGCTATGCTAATGCTGAAGCTGATGCTATGCTGATGCTGATGCTATGCTGATGCTGATGCTGATGCTGATGCTGATGCTGATGCTGATGCTATGCTGATGCTGATGCTGATGCTGATGCTGATGCTATGCTGACGCTGATGCTGATGCTGATGCTGATGCTTATGCTTATGCTGATGCTATGCTGATGCTGATGCAATGCTGATGCTGATGCTGATGCTACTGCTGATGCTGATGCTGATGCTATGCTGATGCTGATGCTGATGCTGGTGCTGATGCTGATGCTATGCTGATGCTGATGCTGATGCGATGCTGATGCTGCTGCTGCTGCTGATGCTGATGCTATGCTGATGCTGATGCTGATGCTATGCTGATGCTGATGCTGATGCTATGCTGATGCTGATGCTGATGCTATGCTGATGCTGATGCTGATGCTGATGCTATGCTGATGCTGATGCTATGCTGATGCTGATGCTGATGCTGATGCTGATGCTATGCTGATGCTGATGCTGATGATATGCTGATGCTGATGCTGATGCTATGCTGATGCTGATGCTGATGCTGATGCTATGCTGATGCTGATGCTGATGCTATGCTGATGCTGATGCTGATGCTGATGCTGATGCTATGCTGATGCTGATGCTGATGCTGATGCTGATGCTGATGCTTATGCTTATGCTTATGCTGATGCTGATGCTATGCTGATGCTGATGCAATGCTGATGCTGATGCTGATGCTACTGCTGATGCTGATGCTGATGCTATGCTGATGCTGATGCTGATGTTGGTGCTGATGCTGATGCTATGCTGATGCTGATGCTGATGCGATGCTGATGCTGCTGCTGATGCTGATGCTGATGCTATGCTGATGCTGATGCTGATGCTATGCTGATGCTGATGCTATGCTGATGCTGATGCTATGCTGATGCTGATGCTGATGCTGATGCTATGCTGATGCTGATGCTATGCTGATGCTGATGCTGATGCTGATGCTGATGATATGCTGATGCTGATGCTGATGCTATGCTGATCCTGATGCTGATGCTGATGCTATGCTTATGTTTATGCTTATGCTTATGCTGATGCTGATGCTATGCTGATGCTGATGCTGATGCTGATGCTGATGCTGTTGCTGATGCTATGCTGATGCTGATGCTGATGCTGATTCTGATGCTATGCTGATGCTGATGCTGATGCTATGCTGATGCTGATGCTATGCTGATGCCGATGCCGATGCTGATGCTGATGCTGATGCTGATGCTATGCTGATGCTGATGCTATGCTGATGCTGATGCTGATGCTATGCTGATGCTGAAGCTGATGCTATGCTGATGCTGATGCTATGCTGATGCTGATGCTGATGCTGATGCTATGCTGATGCTGATGCTGATGCTGATGCTGATGCTGATGCTGATGCTGATGCTATGCTGACGCTGATGCTGATGCTGATGCTTATGCTTATGCTTATGCTGATGCTGATGCTATGCTGATGCTGATGCAATGCTGATGCTGATGCTGATGCTACTGCTGATGCTGATGCTGATGCTATGCTGATGCTGATGCTGATGCTGGTGCTGATGCTGATGCTATGCTGATGCTGATGCTGATGCGATGCTGATGCTGCTGCTGCTGCTGATGCTGATGCTATGCTGATGCTGATGCTGATGCTATGCTGATGCTGATGCTGATGCTATGCTGATGCTGATGCTGATGCTATGCTGATGCTGATGCTGATGCTGATGCTATGCTGATGCTGATGCTATGCTGATGCTGATGCTGATGCTGATGCTGATGCTATGCTGATGCTGATGCTGATGATATGCTGATGCTGATGCTGATGCTATGCTGATGCTGATGCTGATGCTATGCTGATGCTGATGCTGATGCTATGCTGATGCTGATGCTGATGCTGATGCTGATGCTATGCTGATGCTGATGCTGATGCTGATGCTGATGCTGATGCTATGCTGATGCTGATGCTGTTGCTGATGCTATGCTGATGCTGATGCTGATGCTGATTCTGATGCTATGCTGATGCTGATGCTGATGCTGATGCTATGCTGATGCTGATGCTGATGCTGATGCTATGCTGATGCCGATGCTGATGCTGATGCTGATGCTATGCTGATGCTGATGCTGATGCTATGCTGATGCTGAAGCTGATGCTATGCTGATGCTGATGCTGATGCTGATGCTGATGCGATGCTGATGCTGATGCTGATGCTGATGCTATGCTGATGCTGATGCTGATGCTATGCTGATGCTGATGCTGATGCTGATGCTGATGCTATGCTGATGCTGATGCTGATGCTATGCTGATGCTGATGCTGATGCTATGCTGATGCTGATGCTATGCTGATGCTGATGCTGATGCTGATGCTATGTTGATGCTGATGCTGATGCTATGCTGATGCTGATGCTGATGCTGATGCTGATGCTATGCTGATGCTGATGCTGATGCTGATGCTATGCTGATGCTGATGCTGATGCTGATGCTGATGCTGTTGCTGATGCTATGCTGATGCTGATGCTGATGCTGATTCTGATGCTATGCTGATGCTGATGCTGATGCTGATGCTGATGCTGATGCTATGCTGATGCTGATGCTGATGCTGATGCTGATGCTATGCCGATGCTGACGCTGATGCTGATGCTGACGCTGATGCTGATGCTGATGCTGATGCTATGCTGATGCTGATGCTGATGCTGATGCTGATGCTGATGCCATGCTGATGCTGATGCTGATGCTGAAGCTGATGCTATGCTGATGCTATGCTGATCCTGATGCTGATGCTGATGCTGATGCTGATGCTGATGCTGGTGCTGATGCTGATGCTATGCTGATGCTGATGCTGATGCTATGCTGATGCTGATGCTGATGCTATGCTGATGCTGATGCTATGCTGATGCTGATGCTGATGCTATGCTGATCCTGATGCTGATGTTGATGCTGATGCTGATGCTGATGCTGATGCTATGCTGATGCTGATGCTATGCTGATGCTGATGCTGATTCTGATGCTATGCTGATGCTGATGCTGATGCTGATGCTATGCTGATGCTGATGCTATGCTGATGCTATGCTGATGCTGATGCTGATGCTGATGCTGATGCTATGCTGATGCTGATGCTGATGCAGATGCTGATGCTGATGCTGGTACTGATGCTACTGCTCGTGCTGCTGTCAGTGAAGGTGGAACGTACATGGTGTTTGTGCGTGTGCTGCTGACAGTGATAATATACAAGTGGTGGGACGTACATGTGACAGCAGCTTGCTGCTGCTTTGATGGGCGAGTGCAACCAGCAGCCACGTATTCAGCCAGAGGCAATGAGAATGATGATGATGGTGATGGTGATAGTGATGGTGCTGGTGATGCTGACAGTGATTGTATACAAGTGGTGGAACGTACATGTGACAGGTGAGCAAGTGGTGACATGTGGTGGTGCTGGTGCTGCTTGGATGGGCGAATGCAGCCAGAAGCCAGGTATTCAATCAGAGGCGATGAGGGTGATGATGATGGTGGTGATGGTGATGGTGCTGGTGCTTGTGCAGGTGTTGCTGACAGTGATGGTATACAAGTGGTGAAACATACGTGTGACAGCAGCTTGCTGCTGCTTGGATGGGCGAGTGCAGCCAGCAGCCATGTAGTCAGCCAGCGGCGGTGAGGGTGATGATGATGACGTAGCAATAGCATGCATGGCTGATGGTGATGCTGATGTTGCTTTGGTTGGGTCGGGTACAGCTAACGGCGGCTTGTTCTGGAAGGACGCGAGGATGCCAGATACGAGAGGGGACTGAGAAATGACTTCAGCAGATGAGCAGTGGAACTGCTCTGATACCATGGATGGTGGGGGAAGAAGGAAAAAAAGGGGAGAGGCGGGGAGAGGGGGGGAGGCGGGAGGGATGCGAGGATGTTTGACACGAGAGGGAACTCGGACACGGCTTCAGCGGATGAGCGGTAAAACTGCTTTGATACCACGGATGGTGGGGGCGGGAGGGGGGGAGGGGTGGGAGAGGGGTTTGGGGGAGGAGGGAGTGGGAAGAGGGGGGAAGGGGAGGAGGGAGGGAGGGAGGGAGGGAGGGATGATGTTTGACACGAGAGGGGACTCTGAGATGACTTCAGCGGATGAGTGGTGGTACCGCTCTGATACCATGAGCGATGGCATGAACAGTGTGCCACGACATCATAAACAGCACCGACCCGCTGTATCAGAGCAGTACATTTCATCTATCCCATGAACAGTACCAGCTGAGACATGGACAGTGTCCATAAGGCATGAAATGCACCATCTCAAACCCCATGTCATAGCATACCATACCATACCTACGATATACCATGCCGTACTACATACTATACCATACCATACCATACCATACCATACCATACCATACCATACCATACCATACCATACCATACCATACCATACCATACCATACCATACCATATACCATACCATACCATACCATACCATACCATACCATACCATACCATACCATATACCATACCATACCATACCATACCATACCATACCATACCATACCATACCATACCATACCATACCATACCATACCAAACCACACGCCATATCATACCACACAACACCATACCATACCGTGTGCTGATTGGAAGGACGAGGGCTGCAGTTCCCCCCCCCCCCCTGTGGAAAGCCTCACTACCTCACACCACATACCACACCACACCTCACCACGCCATACCACACCACACCGCATACCACACCATACCACGTCATCCCACCCATGCCATACCGTGTGCTGTTTGGAAGGACGAGAGTGCAGCAGTTCCCCTCCTGTGGAAAGCCTCTGCCACCTCGAAGCTGTTGGCGAGAGGGGAGAGATGAAAGAGGAGAAGCAGAGGAGCGGTGAGAGAGAAGAGAGAGGAGCGATACTATTGGCCACCAGGATGCGGGAAAGGGCGTGTTGTAAGACAATTGGTGCGACAGAGACGACTCCAACAATCCGTGTTTTGAGACGTCTCAAAACATTGGTGCGACAGCGATACCTCTCCAACAATCCGGAGCTGTGGTCTAGATGAGACAATTGTTCTAGATGAGAAGAGGGATCATTCCAGGGACGCAGGTACTTCTCTACAAATCAAAATAGGCAGAAAATACATATTCTTCTTGGCGCCTCGGAAATACTACCTCTCCATGAATTCCGCAAACTCCTTCGCCATCTGCGCACGAGAAAATAGCCGCTCCGCTTCGCTTCACGATCACCACTCGCGTCCGCTACGATTCCCCTCACATCAACACCAATTTCACTTGCCACTGCAGGTTCGTAGAACTTCTCTCTCGTCTCTTTGCACCCAGCCGCCTACGCTACTAGAAAGCGGCGGCGCGTCGAACTACACCTATAGCGAAGAAGACTCGCGACAGACCTTACGCCTGGCCACCGAACAAAGTGTTTGAGGAAATTCAGGGACAAGCATTCATAAATCAGTAGCTACCTCAAGGGCGACAGTGGGATGGAAGCAGAAAGGAAAAATCCCCGTTAGTGCTTCTTCGCCCGACTGAAAGGAGTTTCCAACTAGCATAAACGTATACCACGCATTTTGAGAGCACAGCGCGAGGAGAACAACCTGCCCCTCGAGTCTACCTGCTCCTCAGCAAACTTTTGGTTCGGCTCTGGTCGGTTTGGCTCGGCCCGGCTAGGCTCGGCGTGATTCGGGCTCGGCTCAAATAGGTTCGGCCTCGTTCAGCGTGGTTCTTTTCGGTCGTCTCCGTCGGTTTTCGCCGGTACCTCTGCCTCACTCGGTTGGGCTTGTTGCTGAACGGTTCAATTTGGTCCGTGGCGATCATGTCAGTCACAAACCGAGTCACCCAGCAGGTCAGGTCAGGACTCAAGCGCAGTTGCCAAATTATCACCAGGGAGAAAGCTCTGCTTCAGCTGCTAGGAGTGACACTGCTGCTTGTCGGCGTTATCTAGGTCACAGTGCATGCATGTTTCTTTCTTCCCTCTTTGATGGAGAAATGAGGAGACGGCATTTTTCAGGTTGACTGATGCTATTTACTCCGGGGTGACTGGAAAGCATTCTGTATCTACGCTGAATAGCATAGATGATAGGAAGGTTGACAATTTGATTGTGAGCTTGTTAGTAGGTAGCCGGAGGCTATTGCCGACCGAGAGAGCTGCTGTCAACATCCTGCCTTTGTCCAATCCTTTTAGACGACCTTAGGTAGGAATGGTATTGAATGTTCGAGAGTTGACAATGCGGTTGTTAGATACTCTTGAGTCCCGGTTCTGTATGGTCCTGCCTGCCTGATTCCGCGGCACGGTTCAACCTGACAGTTACTAAAAGCTGTGTGACTTCAAGCATAGGCTGGGCTTAGGATAATACTATGCGATTCGAGGCAACCAGCAATAAGATTGGAATCACTTATGAATGACTAAAAGCTCGTAGGTGTACCAGTCATCAGTTACGAGCGAAGTTTAGCATCGAGTCGCTTTTTAAAGCGCCTAGAATCTCGACACAACCACCACCCGCCAGCCCTAGTATCACTCTTGTTTAGGCGCTCGAAGCGCGCAAGGCGTAGGGGGGTTGTTTTGTCGCCTTTACGCCATCACTTCTTGTAATAGGCCGCCCGTCGCGACTTAAGCGATGTTCAAGTTTATTAGTAACGGCTTTTCTAGCCCACGCGGGAAGACTAGTAGCGGCTTTTCCAGCCCACGCGGAAAGCCTAAGGGTTCGCGACTATCCGGTTTCGATGGTTCTGGCGGTTCTAGCCTCATAGCTTTCACTTATAAGGAGCTGTCAGCGGCTACTAACAAGTTCCAATCGAGCCGCGTTTTGGGGGAAGGCAGCTTCGGGAAAGTTTACCGGGGGAAGTTGTCTGGCGTCGGAGTGGAAGATTGGCAGGAGGATAGTAACGGGGATGACAATGAAGCGAACGTTACTAACGCGGCTGATGATAAGGGGGATGGTGGCAAAGCGAAAGGCAGTAAAGCGGATAATAAGATGGAGGTGGCGATTAAAGTGCTTCACGAAGAGAGCGTTCAAGGAATGACGGAGTGGATGGTGAGTGTGTCGGGGATGCTAATAACGGGATGATATGAAATTACGAATGCTGCTAGTTACGGGGATGATATGTAATTATACATGTAAAGAATTTGATTCCAATGAACCTGGTTTGTATTTTCCAACCCTTCCCCTCCACGGTCACATTTGTCATGCCACAGGCCGAGCTTCTGCTGCTGGGAAGGCTGAAACACCCCAACTTGGTGAATCTGATCGGATACTGTTCCCAGAAGAACCAGGCGATGCTGGTGTATGCACTGATGCCGCATGGGGGGCTGGATACATGGTTACTGCAAGGTGGGCAGGGCACAGACACAAACACACACGCACACACGCACACGCGCTCACACGCACCTAGGCATATGTGGTTGCTCTCAGGGGAACCAGGCGATGCTGGTGTATGCGCTGATGCCGCATGGGGGGCTGGATACATGGTTACTGCAAGGTGGGCAGGGCACAGACACAAACACACACGCACACACGCACACGCGCTCACACGCACCTAGGCATATGTGGTTGCTCTCAGGGGAACCAGGCGATGCTGGTGTATGCGCTGATGCCGCATGGGGGGCTGGATACATGGTTACTGCAAGGTGGGCAGGGCACAGACACAAACACACACGCACACACGCACACGCGCTCACACGCACCTAGGCATATGTGGTTGCTCTCAGGGGAACCAGGCGATGCTGGTGTATGCGCTGATGCCGCATGGGGGGCTGGATACATGGTTACTGCAAGGTGGGCAGGGCACAGACACAAACACACACGCACACACGCACACGCGCTCACACGCACCTAGGCATATGTGGTTGCTCTCAGGGGAACCAGGCGATGCTGGTGTATGCGCTGATGCCGCATGGGGGGCTGGATACATGGTTACTGCAAGGTGGGCAGGGCACAGACACAAACACACACGCACACACGCACACGCGCTCACACGCACCTAGGCATATGTGGTTGCTCTCAGGGGAACCAGGCGATGCTGGTGTATGCGCTGATGCCGCATGGGGCTGGCTGGATACATGGCGCATGGAAGGTGGGGCACGCATCATGCACATGCACTCACCCACACGTGCATTCCTGTCCCCCACCCACCCTATCCCCTCCTTTCTTACCACCCTACCATCTCCTCCCTTTCCCCCACTCTCCCACCTCCCCTCCCCTCACCTCACGCTCTCCGTTGTCCTTCTCCCTCCCCCCTTTTGCCCGCCCTCCCACTCAACCCCCGATCCTCTCATCCCCCCTCTCCTCAGCTCCTCACCCCACCTCTCATTCTCTCACACACAACCTCTAGTCTTCCCTCCCCCCCATCCTCGCATCTTTTCTCTCTCCTCTCATCCACCCTCATCCTCTTATCAACCCCCGCCACGTCACAGACTCGCCCCGCCCTGTGCTGACGTGGCAGCAGAGAATACGGATCGCTGTGGGGGCAGCACAGGGCCTGGCTTACCTGCACGGTTCAAACATCATTCACCGGGATCTCAAGTCGTGCAATATCCTCTTAGACCAGGTGTGAATACCTGAAGTGCTTGACAGTAAGCATGAGATGAGATTGGGTAGTTACTGAAGCCAGTTGGGGGCAGGGGGCAGCACAGGGCCTGGCGTATCTGCACGGGTCGAACATCATTCACTGGGACCTCAAGTCGTGCAATATTTTGTTAGACCAGGTACGCCTACTCAGTTGGGTGGGTATTGGAAGTGTGTGTGCTGCTGGGAGCAGCTGGGATCAGCAGAGGGCAGCAGAGGATTCAGATCGCTGTGGGGGCACCACAGGGCCTGGCGTATCTGCACGGGGCGAACATCATTCACGGGGACCTCAAGTCGTGCAATATCATGCTGGATCATGTGAGGCAACTTGATTGGGTGGGTGCAAGTGGTAGTGCGTGTGTTGCTGGGGACAGCTGGGATCAGCAGAGGACAGCAGAGGGCAGCAGAGGAGAGCTTGGGACAGTTGGGGGCAGGGCAGCAGAGGGTAGCTTGGCGTCTCAAGTAGAACCACTTTTAATCTTCTCCCTCTCCCCTCCCTCCCCTCTTCCCCCGCTCATCCACTCCCCTTCAGCACATGCGCGCCAGGTTGACAGACTTTGGAATGGCGAGGGCGGGACCAGAGGAGGGGAAGACGCATGTGCCCACTTTTGAGGCGCCTCATAAATACTCTCCCTCCCCTCCCATCCCCCCTTCAGCACATGCGCGCCAGGTTGACAGACTTTGGAATGGCGAGGGCGGGCCCAGAGGAGGGGAAGACGCATGTGTCCACTCAAATTAAGGGGACTCTGGGGTATTTAGACCCCGAATACATGGACACTGGTGGGTATTTAGCGGCGCCTCAATCTTTGGGGTATCTAGACCCTGAATACATGGACACTGGTAGGTAAACAGAAGGACGCAGACGCTTTAAGGGTTGGGGCAGAAGGGAGGGTTGGGGCAATAAGGGTCGTGGTGTAAGGGAGTGAGCGAGCACTGGTGTTTGTTTTGTGGTTTGTTCAGCACAAGTGAATTGAATGAATTTTTGTTGGTCTTGCTTCGCTATATTTTCTACTCTTTTCCGTCGCTCCTCTCTTCTGCTCTTGTCAACTGCATATGACAACGCAACCTATTTCCCCCCCCTTCAGGACACAAGGCACATACCAGTGACATTCACCAGTCCTGCCCGAACTTGGCTTCACTCTTACCATTGACAGATTTCACTCCTCTTTTCACCCCCTCAAATCCCCCTTTTCAGGGCACCTTGCTCCCACCAGTGACATTTATTCTCTCCTCATAAACTTCCTTGAGCTATTAACCGGCCGGCCTCCATTTGAATCCATAGATTCCACAAACCCTGTCTTGTCTCTTCCCCACCCTCTCTCCCTTTCCCACCCTCTCTCTCCCTCTCATCTCCCCCTCTCCAGGCCACCTTGCTCCCACCAGCGACGTTTACTCCTTCGGAATTATCCTGCTAGAGCTTCTAACCGGCCGGCCTCCATTTGAGCTCGAGTCTTCCACTTACCTTGTCTTGTATCTTCACCACCCTTTCTCCCTTTCCCACCCTCTCCCCCTCTCCAGGCCACCTTGCTCCCACCAGCGACGTTTACTCCTTCGGAATTATCCTGCTAGAGCTTCTAACCGGCCGGCCTCCATTTGAGCTCGAGTCTTCCACTTACCTTGTCTTGTATCTTCACCACCCTTTCTCCCTTTCCCACCCTCTCCCCCTCTCCAGGCCACCTTGCTCCCACCAGCGACGTTTACTCCTTCGGAATTATCCTGCTAGAGCTTCTAACCGGCCGGCCTCCATTTGAGCTCGAGTCTTCCACTTACCTTGTCTTGTATCTTCCCCACCCTTTCTCCCTTTCTCTCATCTCCCCCTCTTCAGGCCACCTTGCTCCCACCAGTGACGTTTATTCCTTTGGAATAATTCTGCTAGAGCTACTAACCGGCCGGCCTCCATTCGAACCCGAATCTTCCACTTACCTTGTCTACCAAATCCGACCCTACTTTGACGACCCTGAGCCGAGCCTAGACAAGTTCATGGATCCGAGGCTGGAGGGCAGGTTCGGGAGGAAGTCGGCGGTAGGGTTGGTGGTTGTGGCGAAGCATTGCTTGAATGATAGAAGGAACAAGAGGCATCTAGCGAGTGTGCTTGTAGAGAGGTTGAAATACTTGGAGAAAGTTGTAGCGAGTGAGTGTACGGAGGGTGATGATGGTAGTGGAAAGGCAGGCAAACAGTAAGATGATGTCCTGTAGAGTAAAATGCATTGTGTATTTAGATGCTCGTAGCAGATTGCTGCAAACAAATACCACTTTTGCTGCTAAAGAACCATGTTTTGCAAGTTTTTGACATGTAGTCATAAGCACCATGAACATAGCATAGCGGATAGTACAGGTACGGTATAAGAATTCGGTATGTATGTAGCTGGTGTTCAGTGATTTCACCCCCACAATCAGTGCCCTAGATATCAGCCTTTTTACGCTGATTCAGCGTTAGATCAGGCTTTTTTTTGGGGGGTTAGGCTGAATCCAAAGTTTTTTGTTATGTACCTTGGCTGATTTTTCTGTGTTTTTTTCTATACCTTGACTGAATTATCAGCCTGTTTGTATGAGTGTAGGCTGAGCACTCAGCCTTGTAGTGGGTACACACTGAAACCGGAAAACAGTGATTTCCGCCAGCACACCACTTCCACACGAACTTCCCCCCCCAGCCCCCGTGTTCCACTCGAATTTCCACCCCCCCCCGCCCCCGTGTTCCACTCGAATTTCCCCCCAGCCCCCGTGTTCCACTCGAATTTCCCCCCCAGCCCCCGTGTTCCACTCGAATTTCCCCACCAGCCCACGTGTTTCACCCAAATCTCCCCCCAGCCCACTTCGTCCACTCTAATAAACCCCCCTTTCAACTCTCCTCCACGCCACCCCGTTTCTCCCCTCAGCCCAGGTTGCTCTCTCACCCCTTCCCCCAGCCCACCTGTTCTGCGCCGCACCACACCGTATCTGACTTGGCAGTCACGCTCTGCCCCAGGCGGGCGACCGAGTCCTGAAGCCTGCTGGGGGAGGGGAGGATGGGGGGGAGAGAAAGAGGAAGAGGGGTGCATTTGCACATTCTCCGCTTGTCTCCGGTTCACCCCTCGTGCACTGCACTCAAGCACAGCCCCTTGCACCGCAGCAGACTGACGCTCTGCCCCAGGGTGTGGCTTTGAGGATTCCCAAAAAACATATGCCCCAGGGTGTGGCTTTGAGGATTCCCAAAAAACATATGCCCCAGGCGGGCCACCTGATCCTGAAGCCTGCTGGGGGAGGGGAGGACGGGGGGTGGGGAGGATGGAAGGAAGGGGGGAAGAGGAAGCGAGAGCACATTTGCTCATTATCCATGCCTGCTTGTCATGCCATGCTTCATGCCTGCTTGTCATGCCCTGCCCTAGGCGGGCCACCTGATCCTGAAGCTCGCTGGGGGAAGTGAAGAAATAGGGGGAGGGGCGGAGAGGAGGAAAGGGGGGGGGGGGGGGAGGAAGGGGTGGATTTGCATGCATTACTCAGTCAACTCAAGTCAACCCAAGTCAACTCGAGGTCCTCCCATGCTACTGCGCTGCAGCATGCTGGTCAGTCATAGTCGGCCCCAGGCGGGCGACCTGATCCTGAAGCCTACTGGGGGAGATAGAGAGAGGAGGGGTTTGGGAAGGAAGGGGAGGGGGAATGGGAGGAGGAAGGGGAGGACGGAATTGCATGCATTACTCAGTCACACTCTGCATTACTGCAGCTCCTAGGCTCCCTTAGACAAGTCCACCTCCATCTTTGTCACGGCGGCACCAACACCCCAGCAGCACTCAACTGCCCGTGCACACCCCACAAGTGTAACCTCTCCTCAAATTCTCCTCTCTCACACACTCTCTCCCTACTCTCTCACACTTCTCTCCCACTCTCTCACCTGCTGTGAAGCTCCTTCGCTCTCTTAGACAAGTCCACCACCATCTTAGTAGCAGCAGCACCAACTCAACCACCCATGCACACCCCCACCAGCAAGACCAGTCCCGTCTCACACTCTTCCTCTCTCACCTGCTATGCAGATCTTTAGCTCCCTTAGATAAATCAACCACCATCTTAGTAGCAGCAGCACCAACGCCCATCCCCACCAGCAAGACCCTTCCTATCTCAAACGGTCCTCTCGCCCTCTCTCACCTGCTGTGAAGCTCTTTCGCTCCCTTAGACAAGTCAACCACCATCTTAGTAGCAGCAGCACCAACGCCCATCCCCACGCCTCCCACCATAGCTTCTTTCTCCTTTAACTCCACCTCCAGCTTCGTAACCTTCCCAGAAAGTTCCCCAAGCTCCACCCGAGCCTTCATGAGAGCCTTCGCCTCCACCTTCTCCTTTTCCCGGGCAGCCGACAGCTGCACAAACAGGTCCGAAATCTTTTCATCTGCCCGCCCCAGCAGCACCTTCGCCTCCTTCTCCTTCGCCTGCAACTGCCCAACCCTCCCCTCCAGCTTTGACACGTTCTCCGAAGCTGCCTCAGCCTCGGCCCGAGCCTCCGCGAGCTGCCTCTGCAGCTTCTCAACCGCCGCCTCCATAATAGCCTCTGCGTTAGAAGCAACAGGACTAGCAGCACCAGCCTTCTTCTGCTCAGCCGAAACCGCCTCGGCAACAGCAGCATCCAGCTTCTGCTGCTGGCGGGACTTAATCAATTCCATCTGGCGCAGCAGGAAGGAGGACCGCTCGCTTGCAGCCTCGGCCGTCTGCTTCGCCGCTGCCAGCTCGGATTGAAGCACGTCCACCTGTGCTCGCATGATCACAATTGCACCTTCGACTTGTTCCGCTGCCTTGGACTGCAAAGAGTGGAGGCAGGGAGGGACGCGGAAAGAAAGAGAAGAAGAGGGGGGTCAGAGCAGCAGAGGAGAGAGGGAAGAGGGAGGAATGAGCATCAAGCTTTTCTGAAGCCCATTGGGACTTAATCAACTCCATCTGGCGCAGCAGGAAGGAGGAGCGCTCGCTTGCTGCCTCGGCCGTCTGCTTCGCCGCTGCGAGTTCAGCTTGAAGCACGTCCACCTGTGCTCGCATGATGACAATCGCCCCTTCGACTTGTTCCGCAGCCTTGGACTGCACAGCACAGGGTGAGGGTGAAGGCAAGAGAGAGTCAGTTGCATGAACACAGTGAGCTGCCGCTGCCAGTTCTGCTTGAAGCACGTCCACCTGTACTCGCATGATCACAATGATCACACCCACAGGAGTGCCCCAACCTCCCTAAAGAGACACATGAGACTCATACCGATTGAAAAAAACACGTGCCCCTCCTTCTCCCACTGAGGTACATGAGACTCTCAAACCCATGCCTCACCTGAGCAGCAACGCTGTCCGGCTTCTGAGGTGGCTTTTAGAGTCACTCGCTCTACCTGCACCACCGGCCCCTCTCTACCGCCCTCACCACCAGCCCCTCCTCCCTCTCTGCAGCCAGCACTCTCTCCCTCTGAGGTGACTCAAACCCCTGTCTCACCTGAGCAGCAACGCTGTCCGGCTTCTGAGGTGGCTTTTAGAGTCATTCTTTCTCTGAGGTGGAATCGAATCGACTCAAAAGTCACTCTCACGCTACCTGCATTGCCACCCCCCCCCTCCTCCCTCTCCTGTCTCACCTGAGCAGCAACACTGTCGAGCTTCTGCATCAGCACCCCGACCTCCCGCCGCGCCTCCTCCTCGCTCTTCCTCACCCTCTCCACCTGCACCACCAGCCCCTCCTTCTCCCTCTCCGCCGCCTGCACTCTCTCCCTCGCCTCCCTCTGTACCTTGCCTCCCTCTCCTCACCACCAGCCCCTGAGAGAGCAAGAGACTTTAGAGAGGACTCACACGATTCCAACACCTGTAAACGCCACTCTCACCTGAGCAGCAACACTGTCGAGCTTCTGCATCAGCACCCCGACCTCACGCCGCGCTTCCTCCTCGCTCTTCCTCACCCTCTCCACCTGCACCACCAACCCCTCCTTCTCCCTCTCCGCCGCCCGCACTCTCTCCCTCGCCTCCTGCTCCCTCTCCTTGCCCTCTGCCAGCTGTCGCTCCAGGAAGCGCATGCGCTCCCCGGCTGTAGCGCGCTCGGCTGTAGCGTCGGAGAGCCGGGCGGTGAGGGTGCTGACGAGGGCTGTGAGGTAGGCCTCGTTGTTGATCGCCGCCTGTAGCGCTGCTTTAGCCATCTGATGATTCGAGGAGGGAACAGGGGGGGACACGGGCAGGAGAGCAGGCAGGCTGTGAGCGTGCTGACGAGGGCTGTGAGGTAGGCCTCGTTGTTGATCGCTGCCTGTAGCGCTGCTTTAGCCATCTGGTTTGGTGGACGGGAACATGCGGTAGTGGGGAGAGGACAGGCGGGCGGTGAGGGTGCTGAAGAGGGCAGTGAGGGTGCTGACGAGGGCTGGCTGTGAGGTAGGCCTCGTTGTTGATCGCTGCCTGTAGGGCCGCCTTGGCCATCTGATAATTCGAGGAGGGAGCAGGGGGACACATGGGCAGGAGAGCAGGCGGGCGGTGAGCGTGCTGACGAGGGCTGGCTGTGAGTTGGCTGAGTAATGCATGCAAATCCTGCCTCCCGTTCCTCCCTTCTTCCCCCCGTCCTCCCCTCCCCCAGCAGGCTTCAGGATTCGGTCGCCCGCCTGGGGCAGAGCATGACTGGCAAGCCTGCTGCAGTGCAGTGGCATGGGAGACCATTGAGTTGACTGAGTAATGCATGCAAATCCTACCTCCCGTCCCTCCTCTTTTCCCCACTTCCTCCCCTCTCCCCCCTCTCTCTATCTCCCCCAGCAGGCTTCAGGATTCGGTCGCCCGCCTGGGGCAGAGCGTGACTGGCCAGTCTGCCGCGTCAGCTGTTCCTGATAAGGTGAGAGGGTGGATTGTCACATAAGGTTATGACTGGGGCAGGGCGTGACTGGCGCAGGGCGTGACTGGGGCAGGGCGTAACTGGCCAGTCTGCTGCATCGGCTGTACCTGATAAGGTGAGAGGGTGGGTTGTCACGTTAGGGTATGACTGGAGTAGAGCGTGACTGGGCAGAGCATGACTGCTAAATCCGCCGCATCCGCTGTCCCTGATAAGGTGAGAGAGTGATAAGGTGAGAGGGTTAGCTTGAGGCAGGGCGTGACTGGGGCAGGGCGTGACTAGGGCAGGGCGTGACTGGGGCAGGGCGTGACTAGGGCAGGGCGTGACTGGGGCAGGGCGTGACTAGGGCAGGGCGTGACTAGGGCAGGGCGTGACTCTCTTTCCTTCCTTCCTCGTTCCTTCCTATCTACACGCTTACCTAGCAAATTTTCTCGGAATCTTCCCTTTTTCCCTCTAATTAAAAATGAAAATAATTTGTATACTCTTTTATTGTTATCTCTAAAAGTCGATGAGCCCATTCCATTTGCTAACAAAGCATCCACAGCTCGCTGTAAAGAGACGCTCTGCAGACGTGCAACCAAACCGGCTATACAATAGTACCTTGATATGATAACCACATTAAAATGTTCTTGATTTCTAAATCAAACTTTGCTGGCTGACACAGAGAGTGGCCGCCCCAGTCATGCCTTCTGTGCGAAGATTTTTCTCCTCGACACTCCCTCTGCTGCTCTTGCTGTTGCATTCTCAAGAGGTGTTTTCTTCTGAGGGAAGCAGTCGAGGGACCCTACACCCCGGCTACTGCCGTCGATGGTGGCTCTGATTTCAAGAGATGTTGTTCGTCTTTGTTCTTTCCCTCTGACTTGCAGGAGGAGCAGGAGATTATTGCAGCAGCGGCCAACCTGAGGGAAGCGGTTGATGCCCTCAACACCCCGGCACCCAACGGCAGTGCCACCAACCCCTCCTCGCTTCGCTCGTTCGACGATGCTGTTCAGTTTGACTCCAAATCTCCTGAAGCCGTACCCGTACCTGCCAAATACCGCAACTCCAACTGATTCTACAGTCAATACCGTATATGAGGCAGTGTGGTGCGATGCCAAAAACTGCCAAGTATCAAAATGTCAACAGATGGTTCGGTTTGAGTCATGAAGCAGTGCTGTTCCAGTACCTGCTATTCCAGTTCCTGCTGTCAAGTATTCTGGGAGCCTCTGGTTTGAAGCCAACTGATTCGTGAGTCGACTCCTGAAGCCGTGCCGGCCTGGGCAATTGTGAAACACAGGGACGCCAATTGATTGGTCCCTTGTGCAACGCTCCTGAAGCGGTGCCGGCCGTTTTGTTACCTGCCGTGTAAATGGATGCAGTACCAGGAGGCGTGTGCTGCGATGTCTCACCACCCCCACCATGACATCACCCAATCCTACCGCCCACCTTGCTTCCATGCCATGCCATGCCATGCCATGCCATGCCATGCCATGCCACCCGACCACCACTCATCACCACCCACCTCGAATACACCACTCACCACCACCCACCTCGAATACACCACTCACCACTATTCACCTCCTGCTTCATCGTGCTTTATTCCGATTTTCTTATGATCATCTCTTTTCGCTCCTAAAGCGTCCAGTATGAAGATTACCCACTTCAGATCCCTTCAATTGTTTGTATACCGGTTCCCCAACCATGGCTCTGGGGGTTGCGACAACCTACGTGCGATTGGGAGCTGTGTATCAGACTAATGTTTTTGAGCCTACAAAGCCTTGTGTAGACTTTAGACTTCTGCTTTTGATGTTTTTTAAACGCTGAAGCGTGCTGCTTGCTGCTGCTGCTTCTGTTGTTTCTAGTGCAGCTCTGTGTGTGTTGTGTGCACCCCTTTTGCACTTATTTTGGAAAGGGGTTGAGTGAACATTGTGGGCAGGCCCCTAGATTCGTTTTGGACCAGGTGATCCATTAGCCCTGGTACGGAAAAAAATGCTGACAGTCAGCGTTACCTAGGAAAAAAACTCTGAAAAATCAGTGTTCATAAAAAAAAAACGCTGATTGTGTATAGCTTTGGTTCTAAGCAGAATTACGAATTACATATACTTTGTGTAACATTTTTATGGTTGGTTTGGGAGTGGCGAGGGAGGCAGGCGGGCTTTGGCCTGGAGTGCCGCCTTGGCCATCTGAGAGAGGCAGACAGAGAGAAGAATTGGGGAAATACAAAGTAGCATCGTCGGACAGGCGGGCGGTGAGCGTGCTGACGAGGGCTGGCTGTGAGGTAGGCCTCGTTGTTGATCGCTGCCTGGAGTGCCGCCTTGGCCATCTGACAGAGCAGAGCACTACGCCCCTATTCCCGCCCCCCTCACCTCCCCCTTACCATGGGGCTGTCAGCAGCAGCCAGAGCCAGAGCCATAGCAGCAGCCAGCGCCACCTCTGCCGCCTCCCTCATGTTCCCCCGTCTCTATTCACCACACCAATCCCCTTACCATGGGGCTGTCAGCAGCAGCCAGCGCCACCTCTGCCGCCTCCCTCTCCCACACAGCCCCCCCCTGCATCCTCTTGACCGCGCCCAGCTTCATAATCACCCTCCCCCACTCCCATTCTGCCCCTTTATGACCCATTCTCCCCCCCTATTGCTCACCATGGGCATGGGGCTGTCAGCAGCAGCCAGAGCCATCCTCTTGGCCGCGCCCAGCTCCCATGTTCCGCCTGTTCCCCCCCCAATTTTGCACTGTTTTGCCCCATCCTCCCCCATTCTCTCCCCCCATTCTAATCCCTCCTTTTCCCCCATTCTCCCTCATTCCCCCTTTACTCTTTCCCCATCCCGCTCACCATCGTGATGTCAGCAGCAGCCAGCGCCAGTTCAGCCGCCTCCCTCTCCCTTACAGCCTCGCCCTGCATCCTCCTGGCCGCGCCCAGCTCCCCACTCCCCCTTATTCCCTCTCACCCAGTCCGCTCAGCAGCCTCCCTCTCCCGCACCGCCTCGCCCTGCATGCTCCTAGCCACGCCCAGCTCCCTACTCAACCTCTTCCCCCTATTGCTCACCATCTCCCCATCCTGCCCCATTCTACCCCATCTCCCGCTCCATCCCTCTCACCATGGGGCTGTCTGCAGCAGCCAGCGCCACCTCAGCCGCGCCCAGCTCCCCATTCCCCCTATTCTCACCCCAGTCTACCCCATTCTCCCCCATCCTGCCCAATTATCCCCCATCTCCGCTCACCATGGGGCTATCAGCAGCAGCCAGCGCCACCTCAGCCGCCTCCCTCTCTCGCACAGCCTCGCCCTGCATCCTCTTGGCCGCGCCCAGCTCCGCCACCACCTTCTCAGCGCGCGCTACAGCCTCCTTCCAGGAAGCTCTGAGGCTCGCCTCCCGTTCCTTGGCAGCAGACAGCTCAGCCTTCACTCCTGTGAGTCAGACGCACAGGTAGCACACAGGCGGGAAAGCGAAGGGGTGTGGGTAGGTTGAGAGTTGGGTTGCATCCTCTTGGCCGCACCCAGCTCCGCCACCACCTTCTCAGCGCGCGCCACTGCCTCCTTCCACCACGCCCTCAGGCTCGCCTCCCTCTCTTTAGCAGCAGACAGTTCAGCCTTGACTCCTGTGGGTCAGAACAGGGAAGGGCGGGGAGGGTGGGGATGGGGGCGGAAGGTGGGACTTGTGTGGGTCGCATCTGCATCCTCTTGGCCACGCCCCCAGCTCCGCCACGACCTTCTCTGCGCGCGCTACAGCCTTCTCCCAAGAGGCTCTGAAGGAGCCTGCCTGGGCCGGAGCAGCCTGCTCCCTCTCCCTCAGCTACTCCCTTTTCAGTAGACCCGACTCAGAACACGCACCTGCTAGAAGACTGTTCGCCTGCCGCGCCTGCGCCAGCGCAGCCTGCTCCCTCTCCCTCAGCGTCTCCATCACGCAAGCAAAGAACCAAGGAGAGAAAAGAGCTAGCATTTCCCTGCATCCTTCTAGCAGACTCAAAGCACACGCACCTGCCAGCAGCGTGTTGGCCTGTCGCGCCTGGGCCAGCGCAGCCTGCTCCCTCTCCCTCAGCGTCTCCATCACGCGAGCGAAGAACCAAGGAGAGAAAAGAGCTAGCATTTCCCTGCATCCTTCTAGCAGACTCAAAGCACACGCACCTGCCAGCAGCGTGTTGGCCTGTCGCGCCTGGGCCAGCGCAGCCTGCTCCCTCTCCCTCAGCGTCTCCATCACGCGAGCGAAGAACCAAGGAGAGAAAAGAGCTAGCATTTCCCTGCATCCTTCTAGCAGACTCAAAGCACACGCACCTGCCAGCAGCGTGTTGGCCTGACGCGCCTGGGCCAGCGCAGCCTGCTCCCTCTCCCTCAGAGTCTCCATCACGCGAGCGAAGAACCAAGGAGAGAAAAGAGCTAGCATTTCCCTGCATCCTTCTAGCAGACTCAAAGCACACACACCTGCCAGCAGCGTGTTGGCCTGACGCGCCTGGGCCAGCGCAGCCTGCTCCCTCTCCCTCAGAGTCTCCATCACGCGAGCGAAGAACTCGCACTTCCCATTGGCAATGCGCGCTGCCTCGTGCGCTGCTGCCACCTCCGTCTCTAGTGCTGCAACACGGGTGGTCAAATCCTTCACCTTCACCAGCGCTGCTTGCTCCTGGGAGGGAGAACGAGAAAGTAAGGGATGGGGTGGGGTGGGGGAAGAAGGGGTGTTGGCAATGCGTGCTGCCTTGCCTTATTTGCTGCTGCCACCTCCGTCTCTAGCGCCGCCACTCGGGTGGTCAGATCCTTCACCTTCACCAGCGCTGCTTGCTCCTGGGAGGGGTGGGAGAGGTAAAGAGAGGAATACAAGCAGTGGCAAGCGGTGGTAAGGGTTTGGGCAGGGTGGAGAGGGTGAAGAAGGGGTGTTGGCAATGCGCGCTGCCTCGTGTGCTGCTGCCACCTCCGTCTCTAGCGCAGCCACTCGGGTGGTCAGATCCTTCACCTTCACCAGCGCTGCTTGCTCCTGGGAGGGGAGGAGGGGAGGGATGGAAGGGGGGAAGGGAGGAGCTGACGGGAGGGGAGGAACTGAGGGGTTGACGGGAGGGGTAGAAGGAAGGGGGTGGAAGGGAGGGGTGGAGAAGCTTGTATCCTACTCACTCTCTTGTCCACCACTTGAGGTGGCTTCGGCCTCTTTTGTGATAATACACACTCACACTATTCCATGCCATTGCATCCCACTCACCCGTTTCTCCACCACTTGCGTCATCTGTACAGCCGAAGCCACCTCACTCCGCGCCGCCTTCTCCTTCTGCTCCAGCTCCTTCACAACCCCCGACAAAAACCCGATCCTCTCTTTAGCCTCTGCCATAGCCGCAACAGCCTCCTCTTGCTTCTCCCCCACTGTAACCACCTCAGCCTTCAGAGCCTCTGCTTTCCTCTTCGCCTCCTCCGCTTCAGCCTCGGCTTTCCGCCGAGCCTCGATCAATTCCGACTCTCTCTCCCGCAGCCCGGCCACCTCAGCTTCGAGCTCCCCGAACCTCCCCTGGGCAGCTTCGGCGGAGGCTTGGGACCACGCCTCGCGGTTAGCTGCGGCAGAGAGCTGCGTGGCGAGCCTCGAGGCTCGGGCCGAGGCTGCCTTGGCGGTCTTTTCAGCCTCGGCGTGCTTGGTTCGGAGGGTTGTCAGCTGGTTAAGAAAGAAGGAGATTCGGTCCGTGGCGGCGGTTTCGGCTTCTGCTGCCGCTTTCTGCCTGGCCTCCAGCTGCTGAATCTGAGCCATCAAAATGTTCACCTTTTCCTGGGGGGATGCCTGGAGGGTAGAGGCGGGGAGGGAGGAGAGGGTGAGTAACGTGGTTAGGGATATTCGCCTTCTGCTGCTGCCTTCTGCCTGGCCTCCAGCTGCTGAATCTGAGCCATCAGAATGTTCACTTTCTCCTGGGGGGATGCCTGAAACATCGAGATAAGGAGGAGGGAGGGGGGATGGGGGGAGAGAGGGGGAGGGGGGGGCAGAGGTGGTGAGTGTGGTGGTGAGGAGGGAGAGGTGGTAGGTAGGCGGAAATCAGTCTGTGGCTGCTGTTTCGGCTTCAGCTGCTGCCTTCTCCCTGGCCTCCAGTTGCTGAATCTGCGCCATCAGATACGTGTGAAACGTGCAAACGGAAGGACAACGGAAAGACAAGTCAGAACGAGAACTTGGGGGAGTACGTGCCATGACACTTTCCATGGAAATTCCATAAGAGGCACTCTGCATAAGGGCGATTCTCTCTCCACAACCCACTAATCCTCCCCATTCCCCCCGACCCCTTCCCACTCTCTCCTCGCTTCCCCTTCCCTCCTCGCCCACCCTCTCTCCCCCCAACTCACCGCTCCGCCCTCGATCTGCTTCTCCGCCTCCCTCGTAGCCCTCCTGATGGCGGCCTGGCAGGATACATACAGGGAAGAACAGGCACGAGGAAGAAAGGAAGACATGAGACGGGAAAAGCAGCGCTTAATACAAGAGGAAACGTGCATGGCGAGGAATGCGCTGCTTTTCCTCCCTCGTGCATGACGTGCATGACGTGCATGGCGAGGAATGCAGAGGAGGCGAGGGGAGAGGAGAGGGGAGGAGCGAAGAGGGCAAGAGAGGAAAGGAAGGGAGAGGAGGAGAGGAGAGGAGGGGAGAGGAAAGGAGAGGATAGGAGAGGAGAGGAGAGAGGATGAGGAGGGCATATTTGGGAGGAAGAGTGACACGTCAGCAATAAGATCAGCTGAGCTGGCAGTACCTTGGAGAGCGCTTCAGAGAGCGCCACATCAGCAGCCACCATGCGCTGGAAGCCCTCCATTGCAAGCTTCCTCTCAGCCGCCTGGCAGCAGGAAAAAGAGGAATGTGTTTGTGGGGGGAGGAGAGAGGAAGAGAGGAGGAAAGAGGGAGAAAAGGAAGTGGAGAGGATGAGGGATGGAAGGTCACTGAAACCCTTGTGTGGCGAGTTTCCTCTCAGCTGCCTGCAGCAGGAAGAGGAGGAAACAAATTGCGAACGGAGGAGGGGAGGGGAGGGGGAACGACGCATGGGAGATGCGGCATGAAAAGGGAACTCCACCCCCCCTTCCAACACCCACACACCACACACCACACACCCACAGCATGAAAAGGGAGCTCCCTCTTTCCTCCACTCACCCACACACCCACACATCTACACCCCTGTTACAACGACCCCACCCATCCTCACACCCATTCGCCTACCTTCCAGTCGCCAGCAGAGCTCCCCCTCACCCCCTAAGCAATGCGCTGCTGCAGCTCCGCTGCCAGCTTCGTCAGCCTGTCATCCCATACCCACGCCCCACACCCCTGCATCACCCACCTTCCAGTCGCCAGCAGAGCTCCCCCTCACCCCCTTGGCGATGCGCTGCTGCAGCTCCGCTGCCAGCTTCGTCAGCCGCTCACCCATCCTCCCTGCCACACGCCATACACAAATCCACCCCTTACACCCCAAGCCCCACGCACCTTCCAGTCACTGGCGCTGCTCCCCCTGACGCCCTTGGCGATGCGCTGCTGCAGCTCCGCCGCCGCCAGCTTCGTCAGCCGCTGGCTGTTGCCCGCCGCCAGGTGCGTGTGGGTCTGCTCCAGGGCGTCTAAGGTGGGCCTCGCGGAAGGGCACACGCGCTTCAGCGCCGCTGCTGCTGCCTCCGCCGTCTCGCCCTTCACCAGAGACAGGTAGCTGTGTGGGGTGCGGGATGGGGAGAGGGGGGAAGGGAGGAGAGTAAAGTGAGCCGCTGGCTGTTGCTGGCTGCCAGGTGCGTGTGGGTCGATTCAAGCGCCTCAAGGGAAGGCCTCGCGGAGGGGCACACGCGCTTCAGCGCCGCTGCTGCTGCCTCCGCCGTCTCCCCCTTCACCAGGGAGAGGTAGCTGTTTCGGAATGGGGGATGGGGAGAGAGGGGGAAGGGAGGAGAGTAGAATGAGCCGCTGGCTGTTGCCGGCCGCCAGGTGCGTGTGGGTCAGCTCAAGGGCGTCTAGTGCCGGTCTGGCCGAGGGGCACACGCGCTTCAGCGCCGCTGCTGCTTCCTCTGCCGTTTCGCCCTTCACCAGAGACAGGTAACTGCCAAGGGGTGGGTTTCAGGTTAGGGAGAGCAGGGGACAATCTGAGTAGAATGAGTCGCTGGCTGTTGCCTGCCGCCAGGTGCGTGTGGGTCTGCTCCAGGGCGTCTAGTGCGGGCCGTGCAGAGGGACACACGCGCTTCAGCGCCGCTGCTGCTGCCTCCGCCGTCTCGCCCTTCACAAGGGAGAGGTAACTGCCAAGGGGTGGGGGATATGGGAGGGAGGGAGCCAGGTGCGTGTGGGTCAGCTCCAGGGCGTCTAGAGCGGGCCGTGCAGAGGGGCACATGCGTTTCAGCGCCGCTGCTGCTGCCTCCGCCGTCTCGCCCTTCACCAGAGACAGGTAGCTGTTTCGGAATGGGGGATGGGGAGAGAGGGGGAAGGGAGGAGAGTAGAATGAGCCGCTGGCTGTTGCCCGCCGCCAGGTGCGTGTGGATCTGCTCCAGGGCTTCGAGAGAGGGCCTCTCGGAGGGGCACACGCGCTTCAGCGCCGCTGCTGCTGCCTCCGCCGTCTCGCCCTTGACCAGAGACAGGTAGCTGTGTGTGGGATGGGGAGACAGTGGGGGATAAGAGGAGTGGAATGAGCCACTGGCTGTTGCCCGCCGCCAGGTGCCAGGACCAGTTGACCCACGTTGACCCACGTTGACCCACGTTGACCCACGTTGACCCCCACTCACAGCACACTCACTGTAACACTCACCCCAGAGCGGTCAGCGCGCTGGCAGCGTTGGGCTGGCAGCTGACCACGAGCACCCGGTGCCCCGATGCTGCCAGCTACAGCTTCTTTACCAGCGTTGACTAGCTTTGACCAGCGTTGACTGCACTCACCCCAGGGCAGTCAGCGCGCCGGCAGCGTTGGGCTGGCAGCTGACCACGAGCACCCGGTGCCCCGATGCTGCCAGCGACGCCACCACGCGCACAGCCTCGAGCAGCACAGGCACCTGAGGAGGTGAGCGGGGGAGGGGGTGGGGGAAGAGGGGTCAGGATAAAGGGCGGTTGGGGCAGTGACTCCTGGTGCTGCCAGCGACGCCACCACGTGCACAGCCTCGAGCAGCACAGGCACCTGAGGAGGTGAGCGGGGGAGGGGGTGGGGGAAGAGGGGTCAGGATAAAGGGCGGTTGGGGCAGTGACTCCTGGTGCTGCCAGCGACGCCACCACGTGCACAGCCTCGAGCAGCACAGGCACCTGAGGAGGTGAGCGGGGGAGGGAGGTGGGGAGGAGGAGAGTATAAGGGCGGTTGGGGCAGTGATGCCTGATGCTGCCAGCGACGCCACCACGCGCACAGCCTCGAGCAGCATCGGCACCTGAGGAGGTAGGAGATACATGGGAGACGAAGGGAGGAAGTTGTGAGGGAAGGAAAAGGGGAGCAGGGGAATGCCAATGGGCTGGCAGGGGAGGGGGCTCAGAAGTTAGCAGAAGCGTCTCTCTTCTCTTCTCCCACCTTCGCAATCTTGAGACTGTTACGTTTCGGGACGAGATCTCCCTCTCAACTCTGTGAATGTTTTTTAGTCGACTCAGAAACAGATACAGGGGGAAAGAAGGGAGGAAGGGGATGGGGCTCATAAGTAAGCAGAAGCGTCTCTCTTTTCCCACCTTCGCAGCCTTGAGACGTTTCGTGTCGCGACGAAATCTCCCTTTCAACTTTGGGAATGCCGTTATCCCAGTGCTGTTTCCCACTGACGCAGTGCCTTGCGTACCTGCTCATTCCTGAAATCAATGTTGAGAATTCTCAAAAGTCCTTTCAACTCTGGGAATGCCGTTATCCCAGTGTTGCTTCCCACTAACTCAGTGCATTGCGTACCTGCTCATTCATTCCTACTTCCCACTCGCCCAAAGCCTCACGTAACTGCGCCCTCCCGCATTAACCCCGCTCCCATGCCAATGCCTCGCGTACCTGCTCCCTCCCGCATCAGCCCACGGCCGCTCCCATCCCAATGCCCCGCGTACCTGGGAGTTAGCAGCAGCATCTCCCTTCTCTCCAACTGCTGCTGCTGCTGCTGCTCCTGCTGCAGCAACAGCAACATGCTCTCCTGGCGTTTCCACCGATTCCACCCGCACGGCCGCCCCTCCCGCCTCTCAACCCACGCCCGCTCGCACCCACTGTCTTGCGTACCTGGGCATTGGTCGAAGAGTCTGCCTTCTCCCCAGCTGCTGCTGCTGCTGCCGCCGCAACAGCAGCACTCTCCCCTAGCGTTTCCACCGATTCCACCCGCACAGCTGCCCCTCCCGCCTCCGTGACTGCTGCCGCTACTGCGGGCCAATCAACGCCCAGCTCCCGCTCCTGCTGCTCCGTCTGGCGTGGGGAAGAATGAAGAAAGGGGATGGGGAGAAGAGTTGTAAGTGAAGAGAGAACCCCACGGATAGTGCTACTCGCACGCATCGCTCATCCCCTCCTGCCTCCGTGGCGGCTGCTGCGACTGCCGGCCAGTCAACGCCCAGCTCGCGCTCCTGCTGCTCCGTCTGCGGTTGTGGCGCGGGAAAGGGAGGGAGAGGAGGGTGAGGGAGGAAGGGAGAACGAAAGTGAAGTAGAAGGGAGAAACTCCACAGATGAAACTCGCACCGCACTTAACAGCTACTTCCTTACGCATCTGTGAAGTTGCTGGTTCGTGGAGCTTTTCCTAGTAATGGCTTACGCATTGTTTGAACCTCTCTACTCTACCCCCTACCGTGGGAAATCCAACAGCAGTAACGACAATCCGCGGGAAAAAAAAAAAAGACAAAAAAACAAAAAAAAACGTACCATTTATATGTACGTAAGGTTTTTAACGACAGTAGATACATGTATGATGTAACAAGCGCACTTACCATAAGGGCCACGACAGCAGTGACGTCAGCAGCCGCCATCACAGCCTTGGCGTCGTCTGCCGTCGCCAGCGGCGACCCAATGAGGACGTTGTCCGCCACGTGGCACCACGAGACTGGCCAGTCGCCCTCGACTCTCGCCGACTCAGCTGTTATTGTAAAGTCATCGAGGGTTGTGGGGACGAGGGGGAAAGGGGAAGATAGTAAGATGCTATCGTAAGGAAAAGGGGAAGATAGTAAGATGCTATCGTAAGGAAAAGGGGAAGATAGTAAGCTGCGGGGACGGGGGGAAAAGGGGAAGATAGTAAGATGCTATCGTAAGGACACTTAAAGTTGCGGGGACGGGGGGAAAAGGGGAAAATAGTAAGAAGTTATTGTAAGGACACCAAGGGTTGTGGGACGACGCGAGGGGAGAGGGAGGGTGGGGGTGAAGATCATCAGCAGAGTAACAATTGAGTAACTAACGACGCGACACACAAGACACCGCATCATGCGGCAAATAACCAATCACGCACCCATGCATGCATCGAATACCGCAATTCGTATACCGAGGGTTGTGGGGACGCGAGGGGAGAGGGAGAGTGAGAGGGAAGACTCGAAATCAGAGTAACATCAGAGTAACTGACGACACAGACACGACACGGACGACACCACATCATCCGGCAAATAACTCATCAGGCACCCATGCACGAATACCGCAATTCGTATACTAACGTTCCGATGGTACAAAAAAACAACAAATATATATTAAAAAAGCGGCGTTCGTAAATGGAAGCGGTAACATACACACACCGCATTCCTCGAATGCGACGAGGTAACGAGCCCGAGTTCCGTCCCTGCGGCTTCTCCGCAATTGACGGAAACGTCGAAAGCTTCTTGAGCCGCGATTTCGCCTCCTCGCTCACATCCGCCATAACCACATCATGAACGCGTCCTCCCCGATTCGCGGCGCCATCTCCGCCGCGCTTTGCGCCCGCGTTTCGCCGGTCCGTCGTTTCTCCGACAGCCGCGCGAGCTGCGCCAGGCTGGAATACGGAAAGCCTCCGGAGATTAACTCCCACGCGCGGCGCCCGCGGATGAGCCGCAATCAGGCGCCGCGTAACGGGGACAAGAGTTAACGAGGAAGCTAGCGCGTGCGGCGGAGTGGCAATGGCGTTCGGCTTCACGGGCAATCGCAGCCCGGCGCTGGCGACTGAAAGAGTCTCCATCCTGATTGCTTCAGGGCTAACACTTTCGTAATAATGAATAGGAACAGGAAGTGGCCCTAGAGTACAAGTTTACGCGATAAAAGGCCCGCGCAAGTACTTGCTATGTACTGGAAGAACGAAAGCACAGAAGGTCTCAGATCCAGGATCCTAGGGTGACCACAGTAGTGGGTGAAAGTTGGACAGGCGGAAAGCTGATGCACTCGTGCATTCTCAAGGCGGTGCAGTGAGCCTGTACGGTATGTCTGTCCTCCTGCGTTCTTTCTATCCCTCATGGTTGGAAGCTGGGTGGAGGAGATGGGGAACGAGGCGATTACGGGGCAGATTATTGGCGAATTTGCGACGCTTGAGTTACTGACGGGAGAAGTTACCAATGTTCGTTGTCGAATCAAACCCGGAAACACTGACTTAGAAAGGGTGACCCGTTTTTGGCGAAGCTTGCGATCCGGCACCTGGTACTCCTGAAAGGACGGAGCCGCACTGAAATGCTGCCCGCGGGTTCTGAACGACGGTTCAAATCAGTTCGCTTTTTGGTGGGAAAAGCGGGCGACCCGACAGGGCAGCTTCCTATCCAAAAGTGACGCAAACAAAACTCCTCATTGGGGTGTCAGAAAGTGGCGGGAAGATTGCACCACGTCCACTGGATTGAAACTCATCTACGGGTTACAGCAGCCATTGCGGAAAAACAGGGTATGTCACCCAGACTTTTGGGCCATGTCAGCAATGGAGGTGAATCTTCCACGAGGTGAGGAAGGGTTACGACCCGCACGTGTGAGACGCGAGATCTTTCATTTGGTACAGTCGTTGCTCATTAGAAGAACACCAGGTAGGTGGGCGGCAATCGACTGGAACTAGTTTTGGCTTTCAGCCGACCTTCGCTCATATCGCCACGGGCGAAAAAGGGACTGTAGAGTGAACGTCGGAATGCGTCTGTAAATTGTCAACATATCTGATGACATATGTGATGACGTATGTGATGTGCAACCATTGTTGTTTAAAAACTGTAGATGTTGTCTTCCGCAACTGAGTGACCGTACCTTGTACTTAGAACAGTACTCAATTTAGTCACTCATGGGCAAAAACGTTCGCGAGTGGCTGGTTTTCTGAGCTGACCTTTGGACACGGGATAAGGTGAGCAAGGACTGCCCTTTCGAACCAGTACATGACACTGGCGCGTTAGACCACACCTTATTTACAATGTTTATGGTTGGTGTTTTACTGACAAGGGAAGTATGAAACTAGTGAAAGGTGACCAAGTAGGAGAGGCATAACAAAGTGCATGTGTGATGTAAAAGATGGTGACTAACAGAGAGAGACACATGTGAAGACCAACAGAACAGGCACAACAGGATAGACGTATGTGATGACCAACATGATTGGTATGATAACTAATGTGAGGATTATACACTGACAAAAGGGAGTGCTGACCGACAGGGCAAATATAACAATTACACCTGCACTTACACCTAAGAGGCTAGTTACTCTAACCCATCCTTCAACTTTTACATTGTTCAAACCCCCTTATATGCAAGGGTTGTACAAATACACCAGATCTGGGGCATCATCACTGAAGGCTAAATGCTCTTAAAATAAAGGGTCTTTGCTAGATACACCCTCTGAGGTAGCCGGAAAAGCCTCTTCAACCCTATGGCGGATCGATCTAGCTTGTGCATGCTGCATGGCAATGGAGACTCGAAGTAAGTATGAAATCTCGAATGCAGAAACTATAATACTGTCCGTTGTTCTGTAGTCAATACGACGTGCTGCTGCTCGGTGGCTGTAGTCTCGTAAGAAATATTTGAAGGTGCTGCCCAAGCATCCAAACGTTTCAAGTACGAGGGGAATGAGTTTGACTGCCGGGCGGTCGTGTAATGCTCTGGCGCAGTGGCATCGTCTTTCTGCTTCCCGTTGTTTTGCTGCTAGGCCAACTGTGTGGGTGACTGTTACTGGAGCTGAGGGTTGGTGGGGGTAAGCTAATGAGACATGTAGTGCCCACTTGATAGATCAAGGCAGGTGACATCGGGAATGGCATCTGGTAGTATCGTAGGGTCCTCTACACGAACCGTGTAGCCGAGCTCCCTAGTTATCCTAGCTACCTCGTGATTACAGTGTCGTGCACATGGGTAGGCTCATGAAGGTCAGGGCAGCGAAGAGCGTGACCAGGGAGAGTGGGGTTGGAGTAAGTGTGGCCGCAGGAGCATGGTGGGGCTTGTTTCTATAAGACGGAGGTGAGGGATAGGGAGGCCTAAGCGCAACTCTGCGGCTATAAGACAGTCTGCAGGTTCCAGCTGAGAACGGGGAGCAGATGGGAAAGCCGTGAGCCATGCACCTGCAGACGGGTCCTGAAGGAAGGTTATATAGACTAGCTGGTGGTGCTGGGTAGCGACTGCAAATAGCTGCTCTGCTGCGTGTGCAGATATGCGTTGGGCTAGGGCTGAAAAGAGGCGGTTAGGGTAGCCTGCTAGGAAAGCGGACCAAGGGGGGGGACAAGATGGTACAGGTCATCAGGATTGGCAGTCAGAGTGCGTGCGGGTGTGGGTCTAGGCGGTCGACTGCGTCGGTGGCTATGAAGGGACGGAGGAAGTAGTCACCATCCCCTGAACTGAACCCAAATTCAATTCTTGGAGCATCCCTTCTCCCCCCTCTCTCTTCCTTCCACTCCCCCACAATGGTATCCCCTACCTCGGTCCCCCACAGCCTTGAACAACCCTTGTCAATCGGAGCGGTCCTCATCAGCGGCATCAGAGCCACCAGCGTGCTCTGGCCTTTCTCTCGTATCTTCCTCCACCACGCCCCTTTCCCTTATCCTCCACCACAAAAGGGGGAGGAGGGGGGGGGAAGAGGATTGCTCGAAACTCTTCAATTCCTGCGTTGGAATCAACTTCGTTACATGCACTTCCTTAACTCGCTTGCTCACTTTGCCTCCCATCCACTGACCCACTCTCCTGCTTCCATCTCTCCCCTTTCCCTTCCCATGCTTACCACCCACCAATTGGGGCTCCATTAGAACCAACTTTGTTACAGGAGCTTTCTTGTCTCGATTTCTCACTGCTCACTTCACCTCCTATTACCTCTTTTTGATCCCCCCCCTTCACCACCCACCAGAGGCTCGACTAGAATCAACTGTGTTATGCACTTTCTTGTCCCGCTTACTCACTTCTCACCTCACCTCCCACTCCCCCAATCCCCTGCTCCCCCCTCTTCCCTTGCCCTGCACCCACCGCTCTTCAAAGGCACCATTCGATTCAACTTCGTTGTAGGCTAAGTCGAGGCAGGGAAATCAAAAACCAAATCCGAAACAATATATTCTACCCACCAGTGGATTCTTACTGTAACGTTTGGCATTCCCGTGCCTGCTGCCATGCTTATATCAAGGATATTTTTTGCGGATAAGCCTACTTCACCCCCAACAGCATCGGAGGCGGTAGCAGCAGAGGTAAGGAGAGAAGCAACAAGAAGAGGGGAAGTATCAGTTGAGCCGATTTTGCATGGAAGCAAGGAAACGGACATGCTTAAAACGGGAGCAGTAGGGGCAGCAAGTGCAACAGGGACCGCATGGGCAATTACCCCAGTATATTTTGGCCCCATGGTAACCATAGCGAAACCTAGGATCTCCAAGCCTCGAGCATTTGAAGCTCACAAGTAGATCATGCTCCTCGCTGTCATGCTCTCCTTAGCTGGAATCATCATGGCGATTGCCCAATCAGGGACGAGCTCCCGGCAGTTGAGACATGGCAAGCTGGGATTGGCCGCTGATCATCCTCCCGCCAATCGTTGGACAGCTCAGGCCGGTCAAGAGCCACGTTCACAACGCTGTCGGTTCGCGCTGCATTGGGTGGTGGGAGTGGCGATTGTGGCACTGGCTTGGAGCAGCACGTACCTCAAGATTGACCTTGCAAGCAGCCGTTTTGGGTACAGCCTTGATGTGAGTCTGGCAACTTATTTGTTTTTTTGCTTTGTTTACTTTCACTCTAAGCAAGAATCTGTCAGAACTAGCAGTAGAAAGTAAGAATGAAGAAAGGAGGGGGTTTCACTAGCAAGCAGTTGAGTACATATAGGAAACCCTAGATTGGGCTGTACTCGCTATAGAGTACCCCACTGCAGGCTAGACAAATACAACATTCTGACACACCCCCATAGCCAAAGTGGGGTGTAATCAGCACAATGAGCAGGTATAGCAAGAGTTCACAATAAGAAGCAAAGCTAGAGGTAATCACAGCGGGCAAGTGAGGAGGAGGAGGGACTGTGAGAGGAGAGAAGATGAGAGACGGCGGCTGAAGCTGCAGACACACGGGCAACAGGAGCTGCTGGCACAGTG